CAAGAATGTTTCCGAGTGTAGACAAGAACACCGTACCATCGCCTAACTCCTCAAGCGGTTGCTTCTTTTCAAGCAATCCTATCGTTTATGCTTCCTTCAGCTTCAGCTTCGCCTCAACTTCATGGCTAGAAGCAACGATATTTTCTGCGAATCAGGGATCCGAGAACTCATCACCAGGTCAAGCAAGGGGTGTGGCACACGATCGCTGGTTACGACCCCCCCCCCCCCCCTGATTGCTGTCTTGACAAGACCCCCCACCCTGAACTATATACCTAAGATAGCATTACCAGAGTTGAGAAAGAGGTCAGGCACAAGTCTTTCGAAAACAACCCCCCGCCCATGAAAGCCCTCAAACGATCCCTTCTTCCTCCTCTTAAAGGCACCGTCTACCCAGATTTTCGACATCCACGTTTTTGTCGTTACAGGGCCTTCTCATGTCCCTGATTCCGAATATGAAGTCGAGGATGCGCGAAAACCGCGACAATCTCCGTTCCGGAGAACCCACAGGCCGGCTTTCCGGAACGGTGATTGGATGGGCGCGCACAAGTGGGCGGGCATGGATGGGGGAGGGCGGGCATGGATGGAGGTCCTCGTGCATCTTCGCTATTCCGGAGCGATTTTCTCGCTTCCGAAGCGGCATTTTGCGCCGCGACTTGGGCGTTGGACTGATAGGGGGCCCTACTATTATATGCTGCCAAAAGCTGAACACCCTCAACTTAGGGTGAACGGTGCCTTTAACCTCTGGACCTCAAAGTGTGACATTCTGGAGGACACCAGCTTTTTCTAGAGAGTTTTCAGATTTCTGAGAGCTGTACGCCCGATTTTCTGTGACTGCACTTTACAACACGCAATTTGACGGCTGATTTTGACCTGAATGGGCATATTGAAAGGGCCATAATTTTCTTATGAGTGGGACGTTCGGCTCCAAATTTCCAGTGTAGCAAGAAGAAGCTATGTGCTCAATACCCAGCAATGGAGCGCTTTCTGGATTTTGAAGGCAAGTTAAGGGGGTGCGGCACACCCCCTTAAAAGCTGCGGCAGCCGCAGCTTTTAGGGGGTGTGCCGCACCCCATTAACTATATCAAAAAACATTTTTAGCGGACGGTATTTATATGAATCGATAGCCTAAACCTCGTAGATTCCATAGGACTGTTTGGAGCGATCCGTCTTCTTAGCTCTGAGTAATATTTGGTGAAAGCTCAGCGATCAAAAGCGAAAAATGGGAAAAACGAGATTTTGGTTGGCTTCTGATTCCACAGTTTGGAGATCTTCTGAAGCGGGATTCCTGAGGTGGACAAAGAAGGAGTAGTGCTTTGTCTTGAGTGCAAAAACGGATAACTAATTCACCTATGAAACAAAGTCAACCATGTTGGATTTTGACCATTTCATTTAGGTAGCCTAGTATCTTGAATCTTCAGAATTCGCTCACACTTTGTCGACAGGGGTTAATTGACATGCTAATCTTCTTATATATAAAGCTGAATGTCTGTTTGTCTGTCTGTATGTCTGTCTGTCTGTCTGTCTGTATGTGTGTACGTATGTTCCGAATAGAAAATTCCATTTCTGAGCCGATCGGGACCAAACTTGGCACACATACACTTCGGGCCCCGTCGGGTGTCATAGGCTAATTTTCGTCATCGATCGATATCGATTTTATCGATTTTTTGCAAAGTTTGAGCTACGGGGCTGGGAGTTGGCACAGGGGGGTAATCGAGCATGCTGATCACCCCCGTGGGGATGATCAGCATGCTCGATTACACCCCTCTGCCAAATTCCAGCCCGCTAGCTCAAATTTTGCAAAAAATCGATAAAATCGACACCGATCGATAACGAAAAGTGGACTGTGACACCCGACGGGGCCCGAAGTGTATGTATGCCAAGTTTGGTCCGGATCGGTTGAGAAATGGAATTCTCTATTCGGAATATACGGCGGAGCCGGGTAAGCCAGCTAGTTATGGATATGATACAAATATCATGTTATCATTATTATCAGATTACCCAACTACGACCCCCTCCCCTTTTGACTCCTCAATACGACCCCCCAGTTGTGGCGTGCCGCACCCCACGCTTGACCCTGCTCATCACTTCCTATCTCTAACACTCCATGGGAGACGGTCAAGAGGCGCGATTTCTCTGGCTGTCACCAACTTATCGTTAGAACTCCAGTTTAGTGCTACGCGAGTCTTTGAAAATTACCGGATAAATTGCATTAGCTTACTCTCCGTCTGAGGTCACCACTTGCTGTTTTCATGGTTTTTGCTATAAATCGGACTGAGATACTTACGTATGTGTTCTGAAATGCATTTTCATGAGTTTTTGACTTTCAAAATGGCTGTTTTGAGTTTCTTCTAGAGTATCAAGATGAACAACTCATGCAACTACCTAATATATCTTTTTCTATATTTCATATACTTTTAGAAAGTTGCAGAACACTTGTTATGTGCTATTTGGTGTCCAGCTGGCAATAAAAATCGCGCCTCTTGACATACACCCACACTCCATCATACTGATTTCTTTAACATCACGGCCAGTGCAAAAATCGTAGCAGAATTTGCCTTAATGAGCTGTGCAATGGAGCCTCTCTACAATATCGCTCACATTTCGTCAAAAAGTCACCGAACTCACCGGAGTTCAATGAAATGCCCGTCACATTCTTAAATCTTTCTTCATGATGGACGAATTCGAAATCCAATGGTATTATTTGATCCAGCTTGGCGAGAGCGTCCTCTGATAAATGAGTCTGCCATCGTTCCTTCTAGATTTTGCTCACGATAGGTTTGTCACTGTGCCTACCCTCGCACACTGGTTATCCTACCGTAGGCAAAAATCCATGCAATCAAACCTCCTACCTCCTGTGCAATAACATACCCAAACTGAGACTTTCATATAATGGAAGATGCGCCTTGTCGAGATATGTGGAACGGTGCCCTTGGGTTTACAATTCGTCCACTATAAGTTCAGATATGGGAATGCGACGCGATTTCGGCGGATTCCGGTGGAGTTCGCTGACTTTTTCGACGAATTGTGAGGGGTGTTGTACCTTCTTTCTGTAGTTTATGCGGTTGTGCATCATATGGCGAAATTAGGCGCAATGGGAAAGCAATTATCTTTGCACTGAAATCCAAAACTCAGGAGCATTTCTATACTAGTAACTTTTGAGATAATGATGATGGAACTCTCTGAAAAGAATTTGATGTTAACAGGAATGGCAAAAATCGATAATTACCACTTTAGTACTCTGACAGTGAGAACTGGAAACTACTTTAAAGTTTGATTTTTATATCTAATATATTTAGTATCCAGTAATAAATCAATAAACTCAAAATCTCACCAAATAAAAATTTGATTTTGATGGGACACTGCTTTTAGAAAGCATCCGCTAGTTGCTTTTTGAAAAATGAAAGAAACTGTATGCAGAAAAACTGAGCTTTCAATTCAACGAATTTGCTGCGCTTAATTTGCTTTGTGGCGGCTCGGTGGGCCCTAAGCACCTAGAATTACCCGAGACACCCGCACGCTCGCCCGCTTGATACATACGACGCAGCCTACCCTGCTACTTGCCCTACGCGCGTCTGAGCAATACATTAAACACTAAGGATTTATCCTTATGACATCAAAGGGTAATAAAGCTACACAAAAACTTACAACTAAACTACGGAGAAAACTACTAAAGTCAAGACTAAAGTACTTAACAACAATAAGCTCAACACGGGACGAGCTGCCCCATCCCGTGCTACCGATGTGCACGACCATAAACACAAACAAGAATTATGCTCCCGAGGCTTCACCAAAACAGATCCGCCGCGCGTCGCCGGATACCAGGCGCGACAGCCTCTCCGCTCCCGAAGTTCGTAATATGTGAATGTCCCAAAGGTTTCAAAAGTAGCTCGTCCAAAAGAATCCCAAATCACAGTTCGATCCAATATAACTCTCTATCTGCTCGACCGCTAACGCGAAAGAAACATCAAAGGCGGGAGCTAATTGCCAGCACGAGCACAATGGAAAACATACGAAAAGATTACCGATCGAAAACGAAAGCGAACAGACGCTGCAATGAGGCGCCGACGCTATATATAGCCTTTTTGCTGGCAACGCGCCAAGGCGAGGAGAGGTCCAGCGGCGATTGCGGCAAACGTAAGAAAGTGCCGATATCGTCGCCGTGTAGCGCGGCAGCAACCAGTGCTCCCGGCCTCCTACTTCTAGGAGCGCTCGCATCGCGGAGCCGCGACATGCTTTGAAAAGGGGATCATATGCCTCAAATGCACTTCAGTTTATTGATCATTGGAACGTTATGACAAGCTGATATATGTATTAGGTTGTTTCATAATTTCTTTCAACCAAAAATTCTTACCGTTCTAAGTAATAGTCCTCCTATATTCTAAGTAGTATGGGTACTGTTCGATAGAACAAAGCAAACTCTACAAAACAGCTCCCAAACAACATATACCTAAGGTTTGTCTCACATAAAGCTTGCGGTCAAAATTGGAGGATCATACGCTTAATAAATTGAAAAACTACATCACCGCTCAAGAAATTTTGTGATTTTCACTTTTGAGCATGTAATATATAAATTAGACATTCGTAAATATGCTTACTGTATTTGGCTTTATAATGCGCTAAAATTTCATACTTTACCTGTAGCAGCTCCATGTTTCCCAAAGGTATTTATAAAACTCACTCGCTCAGAAGTACAGTCATAGCTTCGCATCCTCGTATCCTCGTATATTGAGTAATAGTCCTCCTAGAATATTTGATCCTTGTCTTCTTTTCTTTTTGCTTTTTCTATTAGTGTATGCCAGTAACTAGTAGTAACTCGAGGGTTTCCCGATTCTACTAGCTACTGGTACCTTTTTGGGTTACATATTTACATGTTTTTTCTATATACATTGTTGAGGTACTTTGTTTACCTCTCAGCCCAATTGGGGCTGCTCTTCTTGTTCCGGCCAATTGGGCCGCACTGTCGCATAGACAGTTTTTCTTTTCTCTATACTACCAACTTCCTCATCATGATTTATTTTATTACATGCTTCGATAAAACTCATTAAAATGTTCTTCTAATAGGATAAAACGTCATTTTGTTTGCAGTTTCTGGTTTCTTACTGCACCAATCGCTTTTTCTGAACGGGTTCATCTTCGTCATGATCCGAAGTGCGTTTTTTTGATGTAGACGGACGATCCTGAATTTTACATTAGATATAGCAGTTTATTGGAAACTATACATACCTGCTCGTCATTCTCCTTTTCTTCAGAATGTTCCACTGACAATTCTTGATTAGTATGCACACATTTTTTCAATTGAATATCAGGCAGCACTAACGATCCTCTCTTAATTTCACCCTTCTGAAAAACATAATCATTAGTTCGTATTATTTATCATTACTATTCAATATACCTGTAAAGATTCTTTTTCTTTTTCAGATAAAAGTTGATCCAATGGTAATCCTGACCATTGATCGATGTCGATATCCAACAATATTGCTGCAATGGCAGGTTTGACGGGCTGAAAATGAAGTAAGTTCTTAAGTATACTAATATTTTCATAGACTAAATCTACCTGGTTATCACCAATCTTGAGCAAACTTTTTTTCAAAGTAACTTCTATACATTTTTTGTTGATGCGCCTGTATTCGTCCTTGATCCTTTTGCGTATGTATAGCCTTAATTACTTCATTAACTCTAATAACATAAAGTAAACATAAAATAAATTAAATAAACATACCCTAAACGTTCTTGGTCTTCCAAAGTAATGGTTTTTTCTCTCGAAATCTTGATATCAGTCCCGTTAGTGTTGTTGTATTCGTAGAGGTTTTTCCGGCCGTCTTGCATAAAAAATTTCCAGAAGTCATATGTTATGCGCGCCTAAATAAGACATATCAAAAACTTACAAACACAATCTACTTGCACTTACACGTATAGCCAATAAGCCACCTTGATTTCCAGCAGGGACAGGCCAACTAAAAGGCGAACCATGGGTATACCTGTAAGAAACAATTAGAAACAGTTGTTTATTATATAAACACTTACTTCAATATATCACTTGTAAAGTCCTCTAATAGTCTGTCGAGTTTCCTCCTGCGTGGGTTGGGTAAGCCTGTAATCCTAACCCAATCTATAAGTGCCTTTTTGTTGACATTTTCTTGAAATTGTGCCAGTTTCTTTTGCACATCTTCAGCCGATGCCATTCCTGTAAATAAATTACTAGAATACTTGTACGAAAACAATGTTCAAATTAGAACGGGCAATGATGATAAACAGATATCACTATGACGAATACCAACTCTCATATAGATGTATGGCCTAAATTTGTCAAAATCTATTAGAATATGGTATAATATATGTCTGTAGCAATCGCCACAGGACAGAATACAAGGACCTTACAAGGTCCTTTAGGTATGTAGCCAAGTTTGTTTACCTTACTACTCCTTTACTCTTCCTTTTATACATTACACTAACTTTTAAGTTAGTTAGGGTATTTTTTAGGGGGGTTAGTATTTTTCATCGTAATTTTTAGTCCTTTACTAACACATAACCATTCTTTGAAAAGAGGGCCATACCTCTTGTTCCCAAAAAATAGGGGGGCATTTGATGGGTAACACCAGTAGGGGTAGGCTAAGGGGGTGTGCTTCTACGACTCCATTTGCCCCGTTTATCTCCTTTACATATTCAACAATCATTCTTTGAAACACCACCTGGGTCCGCCGTAAACCCTGCAGCAGTCCTGCTAAATTACTATCTCCCTGGCTACATTTCGGTGTAGGCCTGCCCCTTGTAGTCTTTTTTATGGGTCTGCAAAAACTATAAATTACGATGCCGGTTACTATTTCAGGTTTAGTTCGTTCCATAAGAGTAAGGTAAACAATACATATGTACTTGATAATTTCGGAAATAATAATGTGGCTACATACTGTTCAAGAAACTGTTCTCTTTGTGGCACAATCAGTCATGATCCATTCATAACATCCAATTCAACTAAGTTAAAAATATTTACTAATATGAACACTTCTGCTACATGCAACAGTAAAAATGTAATCTATTGCATAACTTGCTCAGATTGCAATAAACAATATGTAGGATTAACCACTCGTAAATTTAGAAGTAGAATGAAAGAACATATATATCATATTAATAAAAATGATATTAGCAACTATCTTTATAATCACTTCAAACACAAATGTACTAACAGAAAATTTATATTCTCCATTTTAGATAATTGTGAAAGCAATGATGATAAATCAATATTAACAGATAAGGAACTCTTTTGGATAAAGCTTCTAAACACTGCATATCCATTTGGTTTAAATGACAACATTAAAGGATATGGAAACATATCCAATATAGATAATCCTTTACAACATAAGAGTAATCATCCATATTTTGCTTTAAGTATCACCAAAAATAGACATAGAAGCAGTAGACGAAATAAGAATAAAAATAAGGAAACAGTTCAAGACTTCATCCGAAAAGTCAATAACATGGACTCATTGTCTTGCTTGTTCACTTATATTAACTCTCTTAAGAAGAATTTTATCTTGCAGTTAATCAGACTAACCTATGATCCAAATTTCTTAGAATGTTTTGTAGATGAAATTAGATTATCAGTACTTAGTATACTTTGTAAATATCAGTTTGGCAGTAAGTCAATAAAACAAACTTACGATAAGGATAGAAATATAAACGTGACAACTTACTATATCCATAACATTTTTGATAAAATCAATTTCAACAAAGTTCTAAATAATCAATACATCAAAAATATCATTAATGATACCAATCAGTATAAAAGAACTAGAATATTTTTTCGATACAAACCACCAATATCGCAAAAGATATTCAATTATAATAAATTACTAAAAACATTAGATATGAATAAAATACTCAATATAGTTCTTAGTGACTGCAAGTGTTCCGATATCGATTATAAAAATTTTATTGATACTAATCATAAACATGTAATTACTGGTAATTTACAAATAGTAAAAGATCCATCACTCAGATCAATAATGGAGAAAGGATGTAATTATAGAATAAATAACTTTATTAATAAAAAGGATGTTTATGAATGGATCCATGCTACTACAGAAAATATTTTGACTCAATATTATAAACATTACAAAATAAATAATAATAAAAAAGAAATCATTAGAACTTACCTAAAAGAGGCTTTCATCAGGAAATTCAAACCTTTACTATTTGGAGATAACTTAAAAGGAGAACAGACCTACAATATAAATAATAAACATAATCGAAAACTGTTTCACAATTTTGTTATTTGTCCACTAGACAAAGCAAAAAATAATTACGGTATAATATGCTTTAAGTTCTATCTTCTTACTTTATTGAAAGAAATGGGAGTTGATTATAATGGAAGAAGAGAAATCAGTTTTACTGATAATGATACTTATGAATTATATAATAGAGAAACCTGTGATGCAATTATACATAGACATCAAAACTTTTGTGAAGTAAATAAGCTCGAAAATTTGGGAAATGATAAAATTCCAACTATATATTGTCTCCCGAAATTACACAAAACTCCAGTAAAATTCAGATTTATTACAGGTGCTACTCATAGTAGTATTAAACCTTTAGCAATAGAACTTAAACTAATTCTTAGCTTTGTCAAAAAACATTTCATAAATTATGTACAAGCAATCAAAACTCGCAACATGAATTTTATTGGTTACTGGGCTATAGATGATATTAATATTAGTAATAAGTTAATAAACCTGAGACTGACTAATGTGAAACTTTTTTCTGCAGATTTTACAAACATGTTTACCAACTTACCTCATAACGTTATAAAACATAATCTCAAAGAAATACTAGTATTATGCTATAAAAATGCAAACAAACAATTTATAGCTTATAATAACTACAATAGAATATATTACACAAATTCAGATACTAGTAATAACTCACGTACGAGATTCTATCGTATCACAGATGTACTTTACTTAATAGATTACATACTAGATAATAGCTATTGTAAATTTGGTAATCTAATATACAAACAGAAGGTAGGTGTTCCACAAGGTGGTAGCTGCAGTCCACTTCTTGCAGATCTTACCAGGGCTCGGCACGAGCTGGCACCAGGGAATTTTGAAAACGAAGTCCCCTTTGAAATTTGCCAATTTTTACGAAGTCCCCCTTGACTTTTGGGAAATTTTACGAAGTCCCCTTTGATCCTCAACGATATCCCCTCTAAAATCCTAAAAAAATCCCCAAAATCCCCCAAAAAACGAAACATCGACTAAAAAAAAAAAAAAAAAAAAAAGGTCGTCGCCGCCAATTTTGCGTATGTCTTCACCCACAAAAACGAAACCCCCTTTGCTTTTTGCCCCAAAAACGATATCCAGCTTGCCCCGTGCCAGCTGGTGCCAGGCCCTGGATCTTACACTAGCCTGGTATGAATACAAATTTTCCAAAACTAACATTACTTATAATCTAAATATTCACCCATTTAGATATATGGATGATATACTTATAATATATAACTCAAATATGGATATCAAATTGCTTTTAAGTAATGTATATGAACAACAGCTAAAATTAGAAACAACTAACATGGATGATAAACATTGCAATTACTTAGATCTCCAAATAGTTATACACAACAATCGCATAACTACTAAAATGTATAACAAAACTGATGATTTCGATTTTCAAGTCAAGAGATTTATCAATGCAGGTTCTTGTATATCTAATAAGATCAAATTAGCAACTATATATACAGAGTATGTAAGAATAGCTAGAACATGTTCAGAATTTGAGGATTTCCTTAACAGAATACGTCGGTTGAAAAGCATACTTGAATATAATGGTTATAACGATTTGACTATTCTTGCTTGCGTTACTAAGCTTATTAATAAAAATAGTTATATCTTCTTTAAATATAATCTGATAAATAGTAATAAAACCATATTAAGTACAGTTAGGAGAGTTTTGTTAGAATCTTTTCACGTACCATAAAAACCATATACATACATGCATACATCTATACACACAAACATGAAAAAACACAAACACAATAACATGAACATATACACATACACCTGCACGTGCATAGACATCGTACACACATACACATACATATTCACATACACATATACACATATACATACACACATACACATATACATATACATACAAATACACATACATACATATATACACATACACATGCACATACACTTGCATATACACACATACACATACACATACACATACATACATACATAAACATACACATGCACATACACATACACATACAAACACAAACACACAAACACACACACATATACATACACATACACATATACTAACACATACACAAACATGTACATATACACACAAATACACTTACGTATACACATGTTCAAACACATGCACATACACTTACACATACTCATACACATACATATACGCATACAAATATACTTATCCGTACACATACACATACACGTACACATACACACACATACACACATACACACATACACACACATACACACACATACGCACATATACACACATACACACATACACATCATAAACACATACACACACATGCACACATACACACATACACACACATAGACACACATACACACACATATACACACATACACACATACACAACATACACACATACACACACATGCACACATACACATACAGATACAGATACACATACATATACACATACACAAACACCTACATATACACACATAATCACACTTACACACACACTTATACAGAAACTTACAAGACATACATATACACATATGATCACAAATTCCACATACTTCCTTTTGGAGGTCAATGTTAGTATTGATCGATGCTCTGCTCCGACTCAAAAATGACGCAACATTTGGCTGCGTAGAAATCACATTTTATGACGCGCCAAAACTTGGCTGAGTATCATTTTATTTGCAGGCAGTTGGTACGAAATGCGAATTCGATCATCCTCGCCCCTTCGCCACCGACATTGGAAGTTTCGATTGGACAAGGATAAGGTGAGTTTTTTATGATTTTTTTTTACTAACCAAAGCCCTCCCTCCTTACTGATGAGTTCCGGGGAGGGCTCATTAACTATTTGGTATCCGTCTAAGGGTAGGAACGAAACGGATGTTCCTTTTTATTAGTTTTTATTTTGTTCAATATTTTTTCGTAGAATATTTGATCCT